CCACAAGAGAAAAGACCTAGCAATCTGCTCCCATGAAAATTATAGCCTAGGAATCCCCATGAGTAGTTTCACTTTGTCACATTGGTTTGCTCTGAACTGAAATTTATTCACCGGCAGCGAACAATAACAACATAGGCAAGTCTAGTTGTAACAAAGTCCCCAAGATGTTGTTTACCTAAAAAGGTCTTGATTTTCCTTTCAGTTTTGAAAGGATGCTTTTCTAGTTAATATTGACTGGTTTCTGAGAAATTGGAACTTAATTTTATTGAGCACATTTTGTATATGACAATTTGATTTTTTTCTTGCAGCAACCAGGAAGGTACTTTATGGATTCTCTCTTTATTTTTGGTTTTCATGAGTTTGATTATGAAAGTGTGTTTGTGGCTCTCTGGGTTTATCCTACTTGGAATTTGTTGAGTTTCTTGGATTTGTAGATTCATTTATACATCATCAAATCTGGAAAAATTTTGACCATTATTTCTAAAGGTATTCTTTCTGTGCTTTTTTCTCTTCTCCTTCTGGGATTCCCATGATACATCTATTGGTTCACTTGGTCTACCACAGTTCTACAAGGTTTTGTTCAGTTTTATTATCCTTTCCTCTTGTTACTATTCATATTCAATAATTTCAATTGCTTTGTCCTTTAGATCACTGATTTAGTCTTTTGCAAGCTCAAATCTGCTATTGAGTCCTATTGAATTTTTTTCCTCACTCATTATATTTTTCAACTCCTGTATTTCTGTTTGGATTTTTTTTTTCCCTTATAATTTCTATCACTTTATTGATATTCTCATTTTGTTTCTGTATTGTTTTCCTGATTTCCTGTATTATATTGTCCATATTTTTCTCTAGTCCTTTGAGCATATTTAATATTGTAGCTTTAAAGTTTGAATTGACTCAAAGACAACTATCAACAACACCAATCTGTCCTTTATCTAGGATTCCATAGGTTCAGTTTCTGTCTCATGAGAATTAGTCTTTTGATTGGGCCATAATTTTCAGTTACTTTATAAGCTTTGTGATTTTTTTGTTGTGAGTGTTACATTTGGCTGTTGTAATGTGGTAACTCTGGAACTCAGATTCTTCCCCTTCCCCAGGCTTGCTATTTTTGTTGCTGTTGTTTTAATTGTTGAAGGCTGTAATAGTCCATCTGCTCAGCAACCTCCCTTAACTATTTTGGAAAGACTGCCATCCAAATGTATGTTTACACCAACAACTGTGTTGTACAACCCATGCCCCTCTAATGTTTAAAAGATTTCCTTGCACTTGGGGGGTGGGGCAGAGGTAGGATAAACAGAAAATATTTTTTCCTCTAACCCTGTAGTAAACACTACAGACAACTTACTAGTTACATTTCCAAGCTGTTTTTTCAGTGTATATTCCAACTTGGTTATCTCAATAGTCAGTCAGTGTCCTGATAGAATTCACCAGAAAAGACAGAGGAGGAAGGATGAAAGGCAAAATTTAACCCAGATCTTTTAATTTTCTTTCACCTTTCTGCCACCAAGGAGAAGCCACTGCTATGATAGGACCAAAACTATGCAAACCGTTCACTCAATTCTTGGAGGACAATGTCCCAACTGCCTGCCCTAGACCAACCAGCTGTTCTATGAACACAGGCTGCTATCCCCGCTACAGCCATAGGGCTGAGGAATGGGGGATAGTGCCAGTTGCCATATGACTCAGCTAGGAAAGATCAGCAGCTTTTCCCTCCATCAGGCATTCCCTGGTTATCTTAAGTATCCAATAAGGATCAAAACCAAAAAACCCGAACTAACTGCCATCAAGTCAGTTTCGACTGATAACGACCCCATTGGGTTTCTGAGGTGGTAAATCTTTATGAAAGTAGATTGCCCACCCTTTCTTCCATGGAGTGTCTGGTAGGGTTAAACCACCAACCCTCTGGTTAGCAGTCAAATGCCTTAGGCACTGTGCCACCTGTTCTGGTTACCTAGTGCCACTCTGATGGGAATATACCACAGATGGGATGCCCTTAACAAACAGGAGTTTATTCTCTTACAGTTTGGAGGCTTTAAGTCCAAGTTCAAAGTGCCAGGCTCTATGGTGAAAGCCCCTCAGCCTTGGGCTTCAGCTCTGCTTCCAGGTCTCGGCCCACTGAAGCTAGAGGCCTTCCTTCACTCAGACAGCTGCTAGCTGCTGAGGCTGCCAAATCCAAGGTTGACAGGCATAAAGGCACGGTCCCGATGTTACCAAACCACATGGCAGGCCATGAATTCAAGTCCACTGTAAGTCCCTAGGTCAGCAGAGCATGGCAGGCTGCTAGACGACAACACAGCTACATGTAGTGTCCAAGCATGCCCTAAACTAGAGACCATTCCCAAGGCTTCTCCTTATATACAGGAAGCAGACTAAATCCCAGAGGCAGCTTGTGGTATATCCCACCATGGAGTTGATTGCCAGTCTCATCATGGGGAATAACTGCTACCAACTGCCCAACCACTCAACCAGGCCCAGCCAAGTTGACATACAAACAGAACTACCACACCACCAGAGCTCCTTAGTAAGATTCTAGAGTTCCAAAAGGAAACAAAGAATAAGGACAACAAACAGGAAGCAGTTACCAATAAGGTAGATATTACTCTAACTATATTATGATCATTCTAGATGTGAATGATCTACACCAATTAAAAGAAAGAGACTGTCAGAATGGATTAAAAAAAAAATCAGTGAAGAGCCAGATTGCAACACAAAATATTAGAGCAGGAAGCTCTGGAGAGGTTGATCCTTTCTCAAAAACAATTTCACTGTAAGGAGCAATCTTGACTGTTTTGGATCATAATACAGTGATATTACGATATTTATAGATATCAGATATGGTATCTATATATTATAGATTCTACTCTTTTTCTGCTTTCTCTGGTTTTCTTTGATTCCATTTTCTCTTAACATATGAATTATATTTCTTTTAAAAATATTTTCCAGATTGCCCTAGAGTTTGCAGTATACATTTTTAACTAATTTAAGTCCACTTTCATATATACTACACAGCTTCATAGATAGGTTGTTGTTGTTGTTGTTATGTGCCGTCGAGTCAGCCCTGACTCATAGCGACCCCTCCTTGGGTTTCCGAGGCAGTATCACTACGGAAGTAGGATTGCCCAACCTTCCTTCCGAGGAGTGGCTGGTGGGTTTGAACCGCCAGCCTTCTGGTTAGCAGACAAGTGCTTTAGCCACTATGCTACCAGAGCTCCTATATATCATATATATCATAGATAGTATATATCATAGATAGTATAGGGTACCTTTTAACAGAATATTCCGAATTCCCCCTCCTATCCCTTGTGTCATTGGTATCATTCCTTTTACTTATATAGTCACCAAGTACATTGTTGCTGTTATTATTTTGAACATTTTTCTGTTAGATTAAAATAAGAAGAAAGATTTTATCTTATCTGTATTTGTTTATTCTCTAATGTTGTTCCTTTATTTATGTAGCTCCAAGATTTTGACCTATGTACCATTTTCCTTCTCTGTGAAAAACATCTTTCTAACTGGCAACAAATCTTCTCAGTTGTTGTTGTCTGATTAATTCTTTCTTTTTTCACCATTGAGGGATAATTTTTCTGGATATAGAGTTCTAGGTTGATGGCTTTTTCCTTTCAACACTTTAAATTGCTCATTCTACTTTTTCTTGCTTGCTTGACTTCTGAAGAGAAATCTGTTGTAACTCCTTGTTCCTCTGGGGGTAAGGTCTTTCCCCACCCCCACTTCTTTCTGTATTTTTTCTTTGATTTGTTGCAATTTTATAACAATATGCCTATGTGTAGATTTTTTAGTTTTTTTTTTTTTTTTTACTTGATCACTGAGCTTCTTGTATTTGTGGTTTGGTGTCTGTCATTAATTTTGGGGGAATTCTTAGCCATTATTACTTCAAATATTTCTTCAGTTCCCTTTTTTCTCTCTTCTCCTTATCGTATTCTCATTGTGTTTGTTACACCTCCTTTAATTGTCTCATGATAAGTTAATTTTTGAACTAGTTCTTGAAGGATATTGGGAACTAACCTAGTAGAGTAATAAATGGTTCTTCTGGAGGGAACATCAGTTTTTGTTTTTTACTTTTCATTCTGAAAACTTTAAAATCCACAGTAAATTTGCAAGAATAGAACAGTGTTCCACTGAAAGCTCTTCACCCAGATTACTCATTATTATTATTTTACCACATTTGCTTTCATCATTTGTGTGTGTGTCCATGTGCAAAAAAAGTACTTTTTTTTTTTTTTGGCTAAATCACCTGACAATAAAGTTCCAAATATTATTTCACTTCTAAAAACTTCAGTATAATTTTAAGTTCTAGATACTTAGAATTGACAAAATATTATTATTCAGTATATGGTCCATAATTTTTCTCTGATCTGCAACCCAGCTTATACGTTGCATTTAGCTGTCATGTCTCTCTCTCTCTCTTTTTTTTTTTTAACTTTCTATTCCGATTTGGGTGAATCTTTTGTCTTGTTAAGTCCTGAACACTTCCTCAGTCTATGTCTGTTTTCATGATAGTGACAATTTTGAAGAGTAGAGGCCAGCTGTTGTATAGAGTGTTCCTCAATTTGGGTTTGCTTAATTGTTTTCTCATGATTGAATTCAAGTTAGGTGATTTTGACAGGAATACTACAGAAGTGATGCTGAGTCCCTCTAAGTTCATTGTATCAGAAGGCATGTAAAATTGCCTTGTCCCATTATTACAATGTTAAGTTTGATCATTTGATTAAGGTAGTGTTCACCAGGTTTGTATATTGTCAAGGTGGCTTTTTTTCTCCCTGTAATTAAGAAATAATTCATCTGGAGATATTTTAAGACTTTGACAATATCCTGTTCCTCAGCAAACTTTTACTCTACAAGATATACCTCTTCTATTCTGAAATTCTAGCTTACTGGCATGCAGGTAATGGAGGTTCTTTAAATAATTGTTAATGACAAGCTTTAGTGATGAATGTCAACAGTATTGAGACTAGACATTCCCCTCATTGTTTTATTTATAGGTTCAGCTTGCTGGAACAAGTTTACAGGCTGCTGCTCAGTCTTTAAATGTACAGGTAAGCTGGGACGTGGGATTAGGGGTCAGTTTTTATATTTATTTTTTATATTTTTAATTTTCTATGATAAGCATGCAGTAAACTTATGATAGATAATACTTAGAATACTGTCTTTTTATTACAGAATTGCATAAGGATCCAACTAATTTTAATAACTGCCATTAACAAAAACCAGTTTTATATACTGCTACTGTATATGAAAGTTGTACAGGAAAAGTCTACTTTTAAAGTTTTATGTAAGTGCAGTAAAAATGTTTCTAAGTTATACTGCTAAAACATACCTAAACACAAAGCTAATAATCACTTAAATGCTATTCAGTTTGCAAATATCTCCTGTATATATTTTCATTTATTATTTTTAATGTCTCAATACAAAAATAGAAACAGTGCCATCAAGTTGATTCCAATTCATAATGACCCTGCAGGACAGAGTAGAAGTGTCCCATAGGATTTCCAAGGTTATATTCTTTATGGAAGCAGATTGCTACATCTTTCTGCCATGGAACAGCTGAGGAGTATGAACCTCAGACCTCTTAGCAGCCAAGTGCTTTAACCACTGGGCCACTAGGGCTCCTTTAAGGAAACAGAACAGAAGAAAGAGCCCTGGACTGAGAGATGCAGGGGCCTTTGGTTTGCTACTAACTAACTAGCTGTGTGGCCTTTGGCAAATCACCTTCTGGGGCCAGTTGTTATCTCTATATAAGTAGGGTAATTTACAAAGTTGCCAGAGTTGTTCTTAGCCTTAAAGTGTTATGGTTCTGAGGACTGTAGTTAAAACTGCTTATTCATATCGATAGGCTTCATACAGTCCAAATTTTAAAACAAAACTTAAATCTGGCTGTTTTGCTTCTTCAAAGCACATGACAAAACATGCAAAGTTCAAGTATTAGCATTACTCGGTAACATTTCAGTCAACCTGCTGCTTCCTTTCATTATAGTGTTTAGGTAACTAGCAGTCAAGTGGGAAAACAGTATTCTGGAAGATTGATTTCAGTGTTGCTAATGACTAAAGACCTTGGGTTGAGCATTCCGTGAAACCCAGTAGAATATGGACCTAGTAACACATGGAAACAAGGAGAAAAAGAAAAGGAGATAATATGACCTTCCTTTCTAAGAGAGAGGAGGCGGAAAATTGCCTTGGTTGCCATGGTAAACTTTCATCCCTTAGAGAGATGTTGGCAAACAGGCTGTATCTCCAGTGCAGAATGTTTACAGTCCTGCACTGTAATTATCTCTCAATGACTGGCAGAATTAATCAGAGCCTTTATGTTAATTAGCCTTGCTGCAGTCCCAAAACAGGTGGTGGAAAATATGCAAATCTATGCAGAATTTTAATGCTTTGCATAACCAGTTTTAATTACCATAAAATTTTCTCTCAGTGCCCTTTTCGGGAGTATATTCTCACTCCCTCTTGACTGTAGCATTTTCTCTAAAGCTTGTGTTTCACATGATAGGAGATACTAAATTTACAGTTCTTTAAAATATTAGGTGATGGTAGGTTCTGTGGGTCATGTGATCAGTGTCTGAGAATGGTATGTGAAGAAGTGTCAGACATACCACCAGATAGATGTGAAAATGTTAGTGTGGGAGGCCTAATGCAGAGATGGACTGGAAATACTTTCTTCCCTTTGCTTCTTATTTTCATAGTTGGGAATTTGGGTTGTGAAAAAGTCTGTTGATTTATGAAGGACCAAGTTATTTTTTCCTTCTTAAAAATTATAATTGCAACTTTCCTTTCATTGGAACAAAAAGTCTAAATATCTTAATATTACCTGGTAATATTACTTAATTTTGCTAGGAAGATGAAAGACTTAAAAGAGCAAAACTGGGGGAAAAAAACTCTTGGCTGAATATGCATAAGCCCATGTTTTAAATGATTCTTCAATTATAAGTACATTTCTTTAATCAGTTATTTGGAATCTCTTATCCTCTCCTTGCCCCTCCTCTTCAACCTTTGCCCCTGCCCCTCCAGTCTAAATCTAATGAAGAATCGGGGGATTCACAGCAGCCAAGCCAGCCTTCCCAGCAGCCTTCAGTGCAGGCAGCCATCCCCCAGACCCAGCTTATGCTGGCTGGAGGGCAGATAACTGGGGTAAGTTTTCATCAAGAGAATTTTAATAAATTTTCTCTTTGCCAGCACTGCCATTGACCAATATCTGATTAGAATTGTTCACCATAATAGATAGTAACATGGCTATGCCTGGCACTAGTATTTGTTTAAGGAATTTTCTACATTGTAGGCAGCTTTGTAGAAGGAATTACCTTTCTCAGAAATTTTCAGAGTCTCATCTTTCACAGATGCTTTGGATAACTAAGGACATTTTTACACCCTCTTTTCAGCTGTTGGCTCATCATGCAATGGAATCACTGTCCTTTGGTGGAGACCATTACGTTGATGAAATGTTAGTTATCAGATGGTCGTTATTATGTCACTGCAAGTAGGTAGAAGTTAAAGAATAGATTAGTTCCTAAAAAAGAAAACCACACTTGTTGTTGTTGTTGTTGTTATGTGCCGTCGAGTCGGCCCCGACTCATAGCGACCCTTCCTTGGGTTTCCGAGGCAGTATCACTATGGAAGTAGAATTGCCCAACCTTCCTTCCGAGGAGTGGCTGGTGGGTTTGAACCGCCAGCCTTCTGGTTAGCAGTCAAGTGCCTTAGGCACCATGCTACCAGAGCTCCTGCCATTGATTTGACAAGCAGCGATCTCTTGGGTTTCTGACATTTTTTCAGTTACTATGTAGTGTTCTGCAATGAAGGCTTTCGTCTTATATCCTGGTTCTGCAACTTACTGTGTGCACTAATCACTTCTTTGTACCTCAGTTTTACTGTCTGTTAAATGGAGATGTTGTTAAATAATAGCTATTTAACCATATTATTTATTGTAAGATTAAGAGAGATAATATATATAAATTCATAAAATAGTACTTAACACATAGCATTCAATAGATGTCATTTTTATTGATAATGAATTGGCCTATATGAATATATCAAGCTTTTAAGTTTTCAACTGTCTTTGATCTATAATACCATGCCATATGTTCATCCAATGTTCAAAGTTTGTCTATTAAATTATCTTTGAGGGGAGGGAGTATAGGGGAATAGTAAGGAAGAGTTTTCATTCAGTTCATATTACATCAACTCCCAGAATTTTCTGTTTCCCAGTTAAGTATATTTTGGCAGTGAAAATCTCTTGCATTGTTGCAGATTGTTCCAAGAGCACATCAACATAGATTTATATATATATATATATATATATAAATAAATTTATACAAATTATAAATACTTTGGTTTTGATTCTTAAGTCTCTGATGGGTAAATCTTGTTGAACTCTTTTACAAGGAGGGCTGTCCCCCTAACTGATAGTACATGCATTTCAGAATATTATGGGTTTTTTTAATCCAAACATGTCACCAAAAGAATGATAGAGCACACTTAGAACTTTGATTTGAATGTGTTTGAAATAAGTTGCATTATGAAAGCAAGTTTAAATCTGCTCTAAATACATTGCCTGTTGCACTATTTGGGTTTTGTTTTTAGTAACTGTTGTTGTTGTTATATGCCATCGAATCGGACCCAATGCATAGCGATCCCTCCTTGGGTTTCCGAGGCAGTATCACTACGGAAGTAGATTGCCCCATCTTCCTTCTGAGGAGTGTCTGGTGGGTTTGAACCACCAGCCTTCTGATTAGCAGTCAAGTGCCTTAGGCACTATGCTACCAGAGCTCCCTTTTAGTGACTAGTGTCTTCAATAGTAAGAAGCACTTGGCATTCCAAGTTTATGTGGATGGAACTTCCATTAAACCTGGGCATTAGGAATCATTTGCATGTAAAGAGAAAGGTTTTCACCACCTGTTTCACAGAGATAATGTGTTAGAAAGGGGATGTTTAAGTTGCAAGCTCAATCCTTTTAATAACGGAAAAGATTATGTTGGGGAGGGGGCTGTAGGGAGAATTGAGAAAGAAACAAATGGAGCTCGTATTCTTCAGTCATATTTTAGGACATAATGGAAATGATGGAATATAAAGGGATTCTTGCTAATGGGAAGCAACTGGGCCTTCTCAGTTCTTTCTGTGGTCATTTCCAACATCCTTCTTCCTTATTCATCTGGCTAATCACTTGCTGTTTTGTTGGGGGTAAATTTCTTTTCATATCCTGTCAGCATTGATGCTTTTTTTTCTTGCTTACTAGTTAATTACTTTTTTGCCTGAACCCGAGAGCCCTGGGCAAGCTTCAAGCTTGAATGACTGTTTAAGTCTGGAGATGGACCACCATTTCAATTTAAATGTGTTCTGGTAATGGTAGTTTGATCACTGATGAACATTTTAGACACATGCTAACCATGTGAGGTTGAGTAGCTAAGGTCTGATACCACTTGAGTATTTCTAAGCCCTTGGCTTGCATAAGGGACCCTTTCCTTTGAGCCCTTTCCAAATATTTGTCTTAATTTTCTTTAGCTTACTTTGACGCCAGCCCAGCAACAGTTATTACTACAACAGGCACAGGCACAGGCACAGCTGCTGGCTGCTGCAGTGCAGCAGCATTCTGCCAGCCAACAGCACAGTGCTGCTGGGGCCACCATCTCAGCCTCCGCCGCCACGCCCATGACGCAGATCCCTCTGTCTCAGCCCATACAGATTGCACAGGTAAGTGAGTAACTCTCCAACTGGGGCAGGAAGTAAGGAATAAAATGGCAGGTTTTCTTTAATGTTAAATTCATCTTCTCATTGTTAGTATGGGCCCTTAAAAGTTGGAAGAGATGTAGATCAGTAGCTGTGTGGTACCCATCTTTAAACTTAACTAGAAATAATGGATCTTTTTGCTTATTTGAGTTGGTATTATAAACACAGAACTTATTTGAGTAACTGTTTATATTAAGTGACAGTTCTTGAATAATTAGCTGGCATATTCCTGAAGCAAGGGATTACTATAATTATTTTAATTAGCTAATTGTGGTAGGCATGGGTTGTCTCATGTGCTCTGCAGTGAATATTGCCACCAATGTGTATGAGAGAGATGGGGACTTATCTCTCTTTTGTGGAGTATTCAGCATTATGCAGAACAATATTAAAATGTGTTTTAGGCCAAAGTGTCCAGAGATAATAAAAAATACTTAAGAGACATAGACAATAGAACTAAGAAATAAATGTAAATGAAATCATTCATCTCAAGGAGATAAAGAAGGTGTAACTAGTCATATCTATATAATGTATGAAGGGTTGTTGTAAGTCTGGTGCTAGGCATTGTCTTTATACCCTCCAGAGAAGACTAATAAATAGATTAAAGTTGTAGCCAAATTTTGACAATTAAAAGAACTACAGGCAGTTTCTGACTTAAGATGGGGTTCTGTTCTGACAACTCTATCATAAGTCAGTTGTGACTTAAGTCAAAAACCTCATTATCTGTCACGTTTTCATTATTACTGTTTTTTTATTATCAGTACCTTTATAAATTCAGTCTTTATTTGTTTTGAGGGGTTGGCATGAAAATGATAATATCAGCAAATTATTCATATCAACATTGTGGTAGTACGTATACTAATGATAAAAATGTACCCAAAAGAAAAAGGACAGTTGTAGATGCTATTCTTTGTAACTTGAATACATCCTACATCAAGGACTAACTGTAGTTAACTGTAGTAAAGAACAGATGTCAGCCTAATCTTTATGACTAGCATATATAAATTCTATCAAGATAATATTTTTATTTTGGCTGCTGCTTTCATCACAAAGTAAATGTTTTTAGGGCCTAATGTACATGGAAGCATTTTGAAATTATAAAACACTATGCCAGTGTAAGTTGCTATTATGTTATGGATCAGATTTTTATATGGCTAGCTATATTTCTTTTCAAAAATTTTTTTGTACTGATTTCTCAATTTAGGTTGTACCGAATTTTGTGAATCATAACCAAACCAAACTCACTGCCATGAAGTAGATTCCAATTCATAGCAACCCCCATTGGGTTTCTGAGGCTATAAATCTTCACAGAAATAGATTGCCCCATTTTCCTTCCATGGAGCGGTTGGTGGATTTGAACTGCTGACCTTGTGGTTAGCAGCCTTATTCACTATACCACCAGAGTTCTTTATGAATCATTATAGATCTTTTAATTTATTGATTCAAGCTTAGACATAACACTCTCAATTTTTATTTAAGAAAAACATCAGATATTTTGAAATTCAGCATATGCTTTTCTCATTTTATTTTTTAAATCCATATTTTTCTGTATTTTTTTTTTTAAAGAACTATATCAATTTATTCTGAGAGAGTTGTAAATGAGTACTGAAAAGGCAGACTTAATTTAAGTCATGATGCAATATATGCTCACAAATATAGTAAGCTCCTTGCAGAGGCTCCAGAATGCCCTTTGTGAAGTGCACCCAGAGCATACCCTGTTAGGAAGTATGAAAGAATGTTAAATATTTACCCTTCTTTATTTGGATGTGATACAGTTTAGCAGCTGAGAACCTTTTGATTAAGACAGCTTTTATTTCAGAATGTCCCATCTGTGTTTTAATTCTGATTTTTCAGGATCTGCAACAGCTGCAACAGCTTCAACAGCAGAATCTCAACCTGCAGCAGTTTGTGTTGGTACATCCAACCACCAACTTGCAACCAGCGCAGTTTATCATCTCACAGACGCCCCAGGGCCAGCAGGGTAAGTTCCACCTGAGTACTGGTATTACTGGAGCATCAGGATTTTAACAGATTCTTTGACTCCTTTCATTCTGTCCCTCAAACTGTCCTTTGAAACAATGTTGGGTTTTTTGAGTTTCCTTTTTTTTTCCAAATTTAATTTAGAACTACCATTATCAATATTTATATTATTTTTTGCTTATTTACACCACATTATTGAAGATCATCTTTTACTGCCATTCATCTGTTTAATCACTAAGGAGGAACAAAGAATTTGGTCAGAAGTCTAAATGAAATCATTTGACATGCTGAACATAATTGGATAAATTGCTTCTGTTGCTTGATAGTTTTTCATAGAAATATATTCCAAGATTATGGCCTAAGCATTGAAAATATTTGCTTCTAATGATCACTTGTTTTTTGTTTGTTTGTTTCTTTCTTTCCTTAAGATTTGGAAGGAGACACTGTTACATTAGAAATTATATAAATTTTGTGAGTTATCAAAAACATCTTTGAAGCTTTTTAGTGGTAAATATTGGTGTATTATTTCTATATCAAACAATAATAAAGTTTGATCATGTTTGCCAAGTTGGTTAATGTAACCAATGTGAAGAGTAACAGGATATCAAGGCTTCAGTCTAAGGAACATTAGTGCATCTCTATCAGTACCTCATTATTTTTCTTTCTTAGCCTTTTTTCTTCTTGATCATTCATTCTAAGATTTTTGGTTGTATAAATCCTATTCCAGCATATACTCAATATTGAAAGATGAAGAAGTCTGTTTTTACCTTTACAGAGCTCATGATCTAGTAACAAGAGACAGAGCTGCTATTAATGTCAGACTCAGAGAATGCTATGGAACCCAGCAGAGACCTATATACCTTGGTGGTCAAAGAAATCTTCTCAGTGAATTCTGGGGAGTGCATTGATAGGTTTACAAAGGAGAGAACACCAGTCTTAGAAAAGGGAACAGCATCTACAAAGCTAAAAAACATGGAAGAAAAATCAATAAGCTGTTGTTTGGAGAAGTAGACATAATGCCTTACATAAGTTGCATATGAGGGGAATGGTGAAATTTGAAGCTGGAAATGTTGGCAGAGACCAGATTATGAAAGAATTTTACATGAAGTTTCTAAGAATTTGACCTTAAGATGTATACGTTAATGAATCCCCTAAGATTTAGTATACTCACCTGAAGAATTAGAAAAATAGATTTCTGAGCCCAGTCCAAAAATTCTAATAAACACTTTATGGATTCATACTTTACGGAAGTCTTCTATAGATGATGAGAAACCAGAGAAGATTTAAGTAGAAAAAAGACATTGTCAAATTTGTATTTAAGAGATCTCACACTGAAAAGTTAGTGGGGAAAACTTAGAATGGATACAAATAAAGAGATTAATCCTGGTTAGGAGAATATTGCTATGGTCCTATTGAGGCTTAATAAGGGTCGAACTATGATTGTTAGAAAAAAAGAGGAGATGATTTGGGAAATTAGTAGATGGATTGACGGGGCCTGGTGGCCAGTTATATTTGACTGTTACTGGAGGAAAAGCCTCTAGGTAATTCCTGTGTTTTTAGGAAACAGTGAGGGTTTATGGGATCATGCAGGGAAAATGTTTTGCATTAGAAAAACCAAGAGAATTCCAAGGGGGAAGGAGAGAGTGACCTACATCAGAGAGTTAGGAAGATCAAAACTAAAGTAAGTATTACATTTGATAACTGTTAAGCTGTAAGATGGAATGGGATTTCCTTCACTTTTTTCAGAAAAGTCAAGAGCATTGTCTTTCCTTCAAACCTGGATCTTCATTTTATTTAGTGAACTAAAAAAAAAAAAAAAAAAAAA